TCGGATTCCTATATCACGGCGAAAAAATTGCGACACTATTCATACAAACATGCTAAAAAAAACTCGTATAATTCGGTAAAATGTCATCACCGACTCGTGTCGTGACAGGATTGGTCGAATCTAGACCAATAGCAGATATTGCACAAACCGTTGAGTTTAAACGAGCAGCGAACCTACTAAAAACCATTTATTATTTAACGTCCATAAAAATTATATTTATATTAATGATGTATCCAAAGTTCAGCGAATTTTTCGCAAAAAAAAAAAAATAATTTATCAGAAAGTACGCGACCGCTATTCGATGACGAGCCCCACGACGAAAACAAGCTTAAGCAACGGCGTAGTCGAACGGTGCACACTCGATAAGTAATCCTACAATTTTTTGTTTATAGCATAGTTTATACGGATTATTACCAAAAAATTATACAGTACGTGTTTTGGAAATGTTGAGTCAAATTAGTCTAGAATCGATTAATTTTATGGGAGAAAACCTTTCAAACAGCCGTAGTCCCTAAACTGCATACGTGCCGGGCTGTGAGTGGCTCATGTATTTAAGGACTCTTACAACATCAATTTCATAAAGATCGGAACGTATCTACCGTGTTATAGGGGGGTCGACTGTACAGTACATATTGTGCGATTATCTTTATATTTGAACGTACTGTACTTTAAAATGTAAATTTTAATTAATTCATTACAACCACATTATATATCTTATTACAAATTTCTATACTACGTGTGAAAAAAACGATAAGATTGCTATTGTATATTTGAATATCAGTGGCGGAATGGAAGCACCGTATTGTTGAAACCGGGTCAGCTTCCAAGCAGCCAGATTATACGCATTTCCGCATACGCTTTACAGAGCACCAACTTCAACTCGGTTTAGCCGATAGAAGTTACACACCAAAATATCGCATAACGCTTCCAATGATTCTATCCACGACCGGTTCTGGGCTGTTAGCCGCCTGCCTGCTAGAAATTTGGCCACCCTCACCCCATTTAGGCTGTGTACACATTAGGCGTTTTGCGTTGCGTTAAACGCGCGTCAGCAGCGTACACGCCGCGCGTTAGCTCGGCGTTTGACGACCGTTTAGTGGAGCGTGAGCACTGGCTCAGTTTGGAAATGGACGTGAAAGTAATTACTCGTGTGTGCCTCCTCCATCGTCGCTATAAAAGATGATGGCAGAGGCAAAGAGAATTTTGGGTGCACCCAATATTACGAGATAGACTGACGCATGTAATGTTTGTGACGTTGTATCCAAAACTAAGACAATACGAACCCAAATTTTTTAATTCTTTTAGAATAGCTATAAAATCATTTGATGATGGCTGGTCTCTTTTAGATTTCATCAATAAATAGATCAGTATCGAAATGATCGTTCTCCATTTCGGCCAACGTATGTCCACTCTACCCGAAAGCGCGCGATCGAATGTATAACAAAATAGCAGCACATGTATCTCAAAGCGCGCGGCTGACGCACGCGAAACGCGCGTTCTAACACAAATCTATCAACGCGCGTTTGGCCAGAAGCGCGTGTTTGAGTATGTATACCTATGCAGAACTCTTGGTTCTTTAAAACGCGCGTTACCAAACGTGCGTTTAAAAACGCCTAATGTGTATACAGCCTTAAAGAACAATCTGTGAGAAAAAAAAAAGTATCTTTGAATCATTGAATGAATGTTTTACATAATTTAAAACAAATATACAGTAATTAATCTTTATTTTTGCTGAATATCAACTTGATATCTTGCAAGTTTAACAAAATTGAGCCAGTCAAACTTGAGTCACAGGCATCAGAAAAAATAGACCGCTGCGTCATCCCGTCAATAAACACAGACACTCCGATAATTTGCATTTAAATATGTTACAATTGCAGTATTTCTGAAATAACTTATTATTTTAGCCCCATTTTAGCCTGCAGTGAACACGTGAATGATATAAGGTGCTTTTTTAATTTTATTTACGAACCTTTGCATTTTGTCTACAATGGCAAGAGGAAAAGCTGTTTCAAAATATTTAAGGAATGCTATCATTGCTATCATGTCAGAGAGCTATTAGTAAAGAGCTAATGCTAGCAAGACAACAGTGCACCAGATTATTGTTCAATACGCTAACCACGGCTATGTTATACCTAACAAAACTGCTGGACGTTAGCGAAAAACTTGAAAAGTTTTTGATAGGAGTTTGAAAAGAATCGTAAAAAACAACCGCCCTACCACAGCATTGAATGTAACTACAGTATGAAATGATACAACTGAAAGAATGTATCTGTTTCGACAATGCGCAGAAGACTGCAAGAAATGCATTTCCGGTTCTATGCAGCAAGTGAAAAACCTTTGTAACAGCACATCAAAAGAAGAAACGGGCACAGTGGGCCAACGAACGTCTTTCCTGGTCTCAACAAAAGTGGCGTGAAATTCTGCGGTCTGATGAATCAAAATTTGAATTATCAGCAACAGACAAAAGCAAACGTGTCATTCGATCTGCCAATGAAGCTAATGATCTATCGTTGTTAATTAAAACACTCAGTGAAGTTTCCTGCCAGCGTCATGGTTTGAGGTTGTGTGAGCGCCAGTGGTATGGGTCAGTTGACATTTGTTGATGGAACACTTGCTTCAGAGCAATACATTAACATTCTATAACAGTGCTTACTTCTGTCCATGGCAAAGCTATATCTGCATTTTCTAGCAGGATGGGGCCACACGTCATTCAAGCAGAAAAATAAAACAGTGGCTTGCAGAAAAGAACATAGTTCTTCCTTAGCCATCCAACAACTCAGATCTTTCACCAATTGAGAATGTATGGAATATTATAAAGAAACGTCTGCAAAAACACGCTCTTGGACAGTTGAAAGACTAAAAACTTCTATTCTAACTTTCAGGAATTCCATAATTGGCAGATGAACGTGAGCACCTAGTCAACAGGCCCACGAAGACCGCTTAGCCACTGGTGGGCCCGCATGTTAACTGCAGCCTGGTCTAAGTTCAGTGGTGACAACTGTAATATTGTGTTGTTATCGACTATTTAATGTATTTAACTATAAATTATAACATTAAGTATTTATGCAGTTTCGGAACAAAAAATTAAAATAAGTTGCTGGGAGACACGCAACTTTTTGCCAGTTTGTAATAATTAATAACATAAAAAGTTTTCTTTATAATAAAATCTCGTAACAGATGGCGCCACACACAATTTTATTTTATTTTTTTTTAACTCTTTCCGTCCTGTGGTCACTAAGGGGAGTCTCTTTTTGCAAGCCCATTATGGGTTCGACAGGGCCCACAATGGGGCTGTCGTGGTCACTAAGGGGGGTCTCTTTTTGCAAGCCCATTATGGGTTCGACAGGGCCCACAATGGGGCTGTCGGGTGGTGAGGGGCGGGGCCCGACATATCCGAGCGGACCACCCCCGAAAAATTCCTGGGGATTTTTCGACCCGTTTGGATTCGAACCGGGGTCCCCCAGGGCCATCCGGCCGCTTACACAATTTTATTTGTTAATAATATGATTAATAACATAAAAGTTATTTTTTATATAAAATTTTAACAGCTGGAAAAGTTATGTGAGTAGTTGCTGGATTTGTTCACTATTTTGGGTTCAGGAGTCTTAAAACGTGAAGATTTGCAAAAACCTCGGCTGGTCAAATTTCACACGATTCCATTTCCCTTGTAAAGTACTGTATATACAGTACAGTAAACAGTCGGGAAAGTACAGTGTCCGGTCGTCGACCCGGACCGAGAACCGCGAAATGTAGTGTTCCGCGTACGCGTATCATATGGGCTTCGACTTTTCGACGACTCTAAGACTGCGATCCGTACCCTATCTTTACCACCGAAATCCATTTTTCGACGATATTAATTACGAGGCGTTAGCGAAATAAGTTAATTTCGGAATGGGGCGATAAAATTCGGCCAGGCGTCCGTCTTTATCGTCTGGCAACGCCGTGGTGACGACCTCCGTCTGGCGGCGATGTTTTCGTTTTGGCAAAGGTGTGTTAACTATTAAGTTTAGATAAGTCGAGACGTTTGGCGAGAATTTCGAGTAATTTAACCGTCGGACGATTGGATTTTCCCATGTTATTTGGTATTCTTGGTCTTTGTAGCGGCATCTCCGTCGGCCAGTGTTATGATCGGATCGAGTGTTGAAAGGAGTAAAAAATGGTAAAAACGAGACAACGTGGTGTCGATAGCGAGTTATCCAACGCCAATGCCTACACCGTCGAGACCAGATCCAAAAGAAAAAAAACTCTACCGCATTTAGTAGAGACGGTAAGTACGCAAACGCTTTGCTTACTATTGTTTACGCCGTTTCCCGTTTATGCGAGTCGGCCCTTTTCGTTCCTTCTTCCTTTACTTCGTTTGTTACCTCCATCGTCCGTCCATTTGTTTCCAGCGCCACGATTTGTCGTCTGTTCTCCGCCGATATTTTCCCTTCCCTCGGACGCTGCCTCGGCCGCACCTTCCCCCCTCTACCTTTTCCTTTTGTTCTTTTCTTGTGTTACGCTTTTCGTTCGAGTTCGGCCGGATTTCGTTTCTACAGAGGTCTTTGGCTTCCCGCCGGGATCTCGATGTCGCCCCTTCGCCCTCGGGTCCGGAGCCCATTCCCGTGGGGCCGGATGGACTCTGGACCCACTGCCTCCCTCTCTCTGGCCACCTCGTTGCGGTTCGTCTTCGTGCCGTCCTCCGTCCCCGGGAGTTCGGGATCGACGACCCGTCGGGAAGTGTTGGAGTTTCCGCTGCCCGCTGCGTCTTGGGGAGCGGCGACCACCACTTTCCGTCGGCCGGATTTTGGAGGGCACGCGGTCCCTGTTTTTGGCAGGGATGTGCTGGCGGAACCTTTTCTCTGATGGGGAACTTGGATACGACGTTCGCATCGGAATGTAGAGTGTCTTTCCAAATTTGTTTGTGAAATTTTATACCCGTGTTCTTTGTTGGGATGAGGTTTGAATGCCGGCAAAAATGTTTGCATGTTTTATAAAAATGGCTGGATTATAGGTTTTAGTGTTATTAATTCGAACGTAATCGGTTTTAAGCGGCGGTATTTTGAGGTTAAGGTTATCGAAATGTTAGATGTTTGATCCGTGAAAATGTTATAGAGAAATACGATTTGTGTGAGATAGATACGCGATTTATAGATTGAAGTTCGTTGTCTGATGACCGTGTTGATGATTTAGGGAGTGTCTGCGTTGGCAAAATTTTGGCATCTCCAACTCCTTAACTATTTCTATATTTTATAATAATTTTTACTTTCCTGGCTGTTATAGAATATACTGTAATGTAAGGTGTATTGGTTTAATTTTGCTCTCCCCTGTTTTTTTTTCATTTTTCAATGTTTGACACTCCGTGAGCTGGAAAATGTGAATGAAAAACTTACAGAATTGTGGGCATGTGTTGGCATCTATTTTGCTATATATCTCGGTATTGGATAAACCTAAAATTTCAAAATTTGGCAGCATTATTTCTATATGTAAAATATTGATGCTATTAAATTTTGATGGTTAAAGATGTGGAGGAGAAATAAAGTGGGGTTATATGTCATATTTCAAGTAGGATTGGACCTAAGTGAAGGCTGAAAAATCGACTAAATGTCTAAAATATATGCTAAAGAAGCTATATCTGTGTATCCGGAGATTGTTTGAGATGTAATGTTGGTTCTTACAGAACTATCAACAATAAAAGTTAGTGTCAGCACTTATTCTTTGGACTTTGGTTCATTAAATATGATCTTCATGCATGTGTGAAGGAGGACTTGACAGATTTCTAAGAACAAATTCTATATAAGCAATATCGTAACAGTAAAATTTCCACTAAACTCTAAAACTCACTTTGAAAATGTAATCCAGTTTCTAAGCTGTTTTGTTATAACAGTAAGTGTTGTTCAAGTAATTTATAAAATTGTAGTTTTTTTTTATCCTTTTAGTAATGTTTTGTATTTTGAATAAAGCAAAAAGTCATAGCTACAATTCTCTAGTTCAGTGGTTCCCAACCTTTTTTCATTAGCGTACCCCGTGACATGTCATATCTTTAGATTGTACCCCATGACATGTCATATCTCTAGATTGTACCCCTCATTTAAGAAATTTAGTGAGTAACCGTATTGTTAATTTTACATATTGTAACTTTAAATTAAAGAAAAAAAACCTAAAAGAAAAAATGTATAATAAAGTTGTGATTGTTGCAAGGAACATTTTTTATCTAATAATTTTTTAATACTATTAGTTTGTGATACATAATATATTATTTTTTCTGCCATAATAACTAACTTTTTTCTGTACCCCTAAACAACCTATCGCGTACCCCTAGGGGTATGCGTACCACAGGTTGGGAATCGCTGCTCTAGTTAAACCACCAGTACATTACTAATTAGTAAATTAGCTTAATTAATGAATTACATTTCAGTGATGAAATGTTCAATAATATGTATACAAATACCAAGGAGTTGAAGTTAGCTGGCTGAAAATATCTGGAGTCAGAGTTGGCAAAAAAAAAAAAAAAAAAAAAAAATGCCAACTTCAAGCTATGGTCTGAACACCAGGAACTAACTGTAATTCGTGTCATTTATCTTGGATATTTTCTTTGAGGAAGTTGCTGCAGGGATTATTTGTTCATTATATTTTTATTTAGTTTTTTATATTTTATATCAAGTTATTAATTTATTGTAATTTCATTTGTGTTTATATATCATTAACACACTTCATAAATAACAAATTCTATTTTCTGCTTATTAAGTCACAGAAAACAGTTTACTCATATTACTAAGCTCTTTTGGACCTACAAGTCTATCTTTAGGATCAGAACCTTCATAATCTATTCAAATGTTCTTCTCCATCTTCAGAATACTTTTAAAGTTCAATCGATGATGCATGTGCTAAAAGTAATTCTTTCTTCTATCTTATATATAACAACATTCTGTTCTTCTGATTATTGTTATCTCACCATCCACTTCCATGTCACTGAGATGAATTATCACATTTCACACATTAATTATCTCATTTCTGAAACTTTCTTTAAAAATTGTAGTTTTCCTTTAATCCATAAATATGCTATGTTGGAAAATACCATTTGAGTCTTGCTTTCTCAAAGCCTATATTTACATCTTTATCTAAAACACTTTACAGAACTTTCTTAAATAAAAACTCTAATAAGATCCTTTTTCTGGATCTTTGTCAAGTCAATAGTTTTAGATTTGGAACACTTTTCAAATATCTTTGGAATTGTTGCATTTTTTAAAATGTTTCATTTCTTGAATTGTCCTGATGAAGATCTAGAGCAGGGGTGGCCAACCTTTTGCATACCATGCGCCAATTTTTTGACAGACGAGTTCAAATGTGCCATATAACTCAAACACTTTTTATACAGTCTTATGTTCAATGTTAGGGGTTGATAAATAGAGATAAGAATAAATCTGCTTCGTTTAGGAAAGAAAAGGGAATAACTTAATCATGCAGTTGAATTAATTAATTTATGACAGTTTATTGAAGCACCAATTTACAATAGTCAACAACAATACGAGAGGGTGATTGCTTCATGAAGGTGCTATTGCTGCCAGAGTCTCATTTGGTGAAGATTACTCTGCACCACAATTATTGGCACTGAGAATGAGATCAGCTTGGAATAACTTTAATCACAATAAATGTTTTCGGCCATTTACATGCCTGTAAACTGATCGGAAATAAAGATCGCAAGACTCAAAATACATGCATACATTGTAATTTACTATGTGGAGAATACTCATTTTATCTGCAAAATAGACCGTAACGAATTGTGCAACAAATGAACTTGCCAAGACAGACTATAAAAAATTTATTTTTCTATATAATATTCTTAATCGCAAAAAAGCCAAATCTGGCAATTTTGCTCAGAACTAACTGAAGCGCCAGTTGTAATCGTCCAATGCGCCACGTTTTGGCCACCCCTGATCTAGAGGGAGGATCAAAAATGTTAGTCTTTCTATGGGTTGAGGACTTGCTGGATATTTTTGTTTAAGGTTCTGTAGTGTTGTAATACTATATACTTTCACTCTAGTCTGAATAATTGTAAGTAGTACATCCTTATCATAGACTATTGTGCTATAACCACACTCTTGTTAGCTTTCTTTGTCTTTTTTATACTCATTTATTTTTCTAAACCTTGTCTTGTATGTAAAACTTTTCTTCATCTTGTTTCTCAATTGAAATTTTATATATTCCCTCTACTACAAACATCCTGCCTCTGTTTCTCATTCTGTGTCATGAACATCCCATTTCTTTTAAAAGTTATTATTATTTTTTTTTCACCTTTTTGCCATAAGTCTTTATTGTTCCATTCCATTTAGTGAATGGGCATCCTCTAAATTCTTTGATCTCTCTTCCTCTTTTTTTTGTATTATTATCTGTCTGCACACATTCTATTAACCTCTCTATTTCTTGTCTCTTTAAACCATACATATACCTTAAATTATGAATTGACACCAACTCTTTCTTTAACTTGTAATTTCACTTTATATCAATGTACTAAACATTGCTATGGTGAATTATTAAATTCCAGTTCATGCAGCAGAATTCAGGGCATTGATACATAGCATAGTTAATAGCAGTGTTTAAGAATTTAAGAAATGAGATAATGTGTAAGATGTTAATTTGTCTCAGTGATATGAAAGTGGATGGTGAGATAAAAACAATGAGAAGAGTAGAATGTTGGTGTATATAAGATAGAAGAAATAATTGCTTTGAGCACATGCTTCATTGTTCAGACTTAAAAGTATTTGAGATGCATAAGAATGTTTGAATCGAATATGGTGGTTCTGACTCTGAAGACATATTTGTAGGTCCAAAAGAGCTTAGTAATATGAGTAAACTATGTTTTCTGTGATTCCAATAAGCAGAGAAATAGAAATGTATTTGTTTATTTTATATTTTTATCACTTGAAACTGTTTCTTTGTCTACATACTATTTGAATATAAGTATGACTGTGGTTAGGAGACATTTAAGTTTTATTGACTTATCAAAAAGATATGTTAAAACAATTAGCCCAATTGTTTGAAAAACATTTTTCGACATTTTAAAAATAGTTTTTTCAATAGGTGATCTTGAGCCATGCTGGTTTTTAGAACAATTACTTCTGACAATTTTTTGTCAAAAGTAATTGTCAATATTTTATTTTATCCTTGGCTGTTAACAATTTTAGAAGAACTTTTTCAAGTGTAATTTACAGTTCCTAACAACACTGACACACATTGCAATTTCTGTTTAGTTATTTCTAACTTATAGTAGCTTTATAATTTATTTTT